GAGAGAGAGAGAGCTTAATGGGGCCCTTTTTACATTTAATGTCTCTATTTATGGAGAGAAAAGAGCAGGGGGGGGGGTAAATTAGATGAATGCATCTGCCTTATAAGAGCAGTAAGGGCAATTCGATCCAGATCCATCTTTGTTAGCATCTGGTGGTCGACTGAGATGGCCAATCATCCGAGGGTGGTCGACCACCTTGCTTCACTGTGGTCGACAGGGAGTGGTCGACCGGTTCTTCTTCAGGGGGTCGGCCAGTTCAACATCAGGTGGTCAGGTACATGGCTGATCAGTTGAATATCCGGTAGCCGGTCGGATGCCCGATTGGGGAGTCAGGTCGGCCCACTATAGGTGTTGGTGATAGCTCCGATGATAACATCTCTGACGACGGCGACTTCATTGGTTCAATGGCAATGCTTGTTTTTTGGTTATACAATTACAACTTATTCGTGTACAACATAATTAAAAATGGAGGCGCTAGGAACAATTGTCAAATTCTAGTTAGAATGGTCTATTTGAATATAAATATGTCCAATTGGGAGTTCTTTTGACAATTTAATTGACTATCCAAAACCTTCATCAACACTTTAATGACTTGATCTGACTCAAATCAAACCATTCTTCTTATCATTGGATTCATCTTGTCCTGACCTTCGCCTTGATTACAAATTCACCAAAATCGAATCCCCCGAATAATCTTGAATTTGAATCCGGAACACTTATCGCTTAAAAGTGCATTGGAATTCACAATGATAATTTTTAATTTTTCTATTATATATATATATATATTAAATTCACAACTCAAAATCTTTTGTTCAAAAACATATATGAAAGGCTGACATTACTTACCACTTATATCTTTTATGGAAACTTCAAGATATTATAAAATACTTGAGCATTATGAGATACGCTTATTTTGTTCAATTTTAGCCTATATTAATTAATGCCAATTGTTGACTTCTACTTTGTGACTATTTAATTTAAGTCAAAATATATTTTATAAATACAATATCTGGAAAATTTATTTTAAACTCCCATCTCTTATAACTAATAAGATCAATTTGAAATATAAAAATAGCAAAAATATTCTATTTGAAAATGGCCATTTACATCAAAAATATTCTATTTGAAAATGGCCATATACCCACTAACTCTTGTGTATTTACATATATCTAAAGCCTAAATTTTTATTTTTACAAATATATTTTCTTGCATGGGTAGGATGAGGTTATGTAAAAATTAAGTTCAAAGGTTAGATATGTAATACATTGGAATTGTGTAATATGTATGTAAATCTTCATTTGAAAATTAGCTTTATTGATGATTCATTTTCAAGAATAATTTTTTTTATGTAATCTTAAAATTATATATATATATATATAAATTATGAATCATTTAAATAAAATTTATAGTCGAATGTCAACTTAAAATAATTAATCTAATTTCAAATGAATCCAAATTGAAGATTTAATGTAATTTTTTAAATTTTAAAGCATTAATTAAATGATGGAATATTCTTACATTTTATATGATTATTATTAAAATAAGCATTATGTTATTGAAAAAATGATTTATATCCAAAAGAATTATTTTTTGTTGTTCATTGAAATATTTTATTTATTTATTTTTACTTTTATTTAATGTACAAATTATTATTATAAGAGAAATTATAAATAGAAGAACATTTTTCACATGAAAGGATTGCTAAATTGAGTTAAAATAAAACTTGGACCTCTCCATCAAATATAATTAGTTAAAATATGTGGAAAACTTATCAAAAAGTGTTGTTTAGTTATTTTTAGGAAAACAAAACATTATTATTGAAACAAAGTTCGAACAACTATCACGAATATTAAGGTATGATATTGATTTCAAGAGAATTTTTTAACAAAAAATATTCAAATTTTGATAAAAATTCACACAGAAGTCTGATTCCATCAAACGTTTAGTCAAACTGACTGACTTGCCAAGATGGACCCAATGGTGCAAAAATCAGTCTAATCCGAGTTTAATCAGACCCAATTCAAGCCAGCAAACCATTTTCGAAAGTTTTTCAGACATATTTGGAAGATTAAACGAACACCATATGTGACATGCTTACAGTTAAATCAAGTGTCTTGACACAAAAAATTCGATGAGTCAAAGATCGCTATGTTCCAATATCATTAAGGTGGTCAAATATTCATCAAACAGTCTGATCAAAGATATCTCTCTGGGTCATCCAATCAATTTTGTTTTGGATTCTGTCTTGTTTGTAAATTGGACTCTATAAATAAAGTTTCAAACCTCGCGTGAAGGACCAAAACCTTGGGAGGAAAAGCAAGTTTAGAGCTTGCAGAAGAGGGAGTTGCAGACTTACATCATGCAGTGCAGATCCGACCACCATTGTCACATCGGGCCACTTTAGTAGCCGCCTCTTCCAGCTGCAATTTCGGGCCGCCACCGCCGACTCAGGCTGCCTTCGTCACCGCCACCGTTAACTCGGATCGCCTTTGCTGCCATCTCCTGTCATCGTCGCCTTTTATGTTCACCGTAACCTCATGCCACAATCAGCTTGGGTTGTCGCCTCTTCCGGCCATTGTTGTCACCTCGGACCGCTTCACCGCCACCTCCGGCCTCCGTCGTTGTCCGCTCCATATCACAGAGCAACAATTTCTTTTATGCACAGACAATGCAACCCGAGAAATTGTGTAACTCATTCTCGCCCGTGGGATAAGGGGGTTTACATGTTATCACCAACTACAACCTACATGATTTATAGCTCTTTCAGCTCCCAACTCAGGCCCACAAGGCCTACGAACTTCGTCATAGCTCGTTGTTACGACCCATGTACCAACTATGACCTATGTGGTGCATTGCTCGTGGTGCCTCCGACTTTGGTCCTTGCAGAATATGGACATTGGCACAGCTTGCCTCTACGGCTTACGTGATCAACTACGACATACGTTGTTCATAGCTCGTATAGCTCCCGACCGACTCTCACGGCCTATGGACATCATCACTCCTCGCCATTAGGCGTGTAAGTGAGTTTAGTCAACTAATGAACTGGCTTGAGCTCGGCTCGATAAGCTGCACGAGCTTGTTGTTACAGTCTCTGTGACCAACTACTGTCTAAGTGGTTCATAACTCATGCAGCTCCGGTCCCCGCAGCCTACAAACATCGTTACAACTCGCTATTACGACATACGTGACCAAAGACTTCCTACTTGGTTCCGACTCCAAACCCTACAACATATGGACGTCGTCACTCCTAGCCACTAGGGGTGTAAGTGAGTCAAGAAGACTCGTGTGTTGACCTGAGCTCGGCTCGATAAGTGGATCGACAAGCTAATCAACCATGCTCTCCTTAGCTAGTGAGTCGGCTTGCTTAAGAATATTGTTATAAAATATATTTAAAATATATAAAATTTCAAGATTTTATCTTTTAGCTGTTAAAAAAGTTTAAAAATGATATTTAATATTGTATATTAGGTGATTTCTTATTATTTATCTCATAATTCTTCATTCGAATTGGCATGTTATTATAAATCTAGCTTTAATTAATATCATTTTTTCTCCTTTATAATAAAAGAAGTCGATTCAAAAGCTAGCTCAAACTCGTAGACGTAAGCTCGAACTCGATAAATTTAATCCAGTTCTCGAGCTCGACTCGACTCGTTTACACCTCTACTCGTCACTACAACCTATGTGGTCCACAGCATATTCAACTCTTGATTCTGACCCCTGTGATATACAAACGTCACCGCAACTCACCACTACAGGTCATGTAACCAACTACGACCTACTTGACTCACAATTTTTGCAGCTTCCTCCTTTGGCCTCAGTGGCCAACCATCACTTCTAAAACGATCATCTGCAACTCACATGGCCAAATACTACCATAGATTTCAACTACTTCCTATAAGACATGTACAATGGACTACTATCTACAATATTTACAGTAGACTACAACCTCCATAACCACCGACTATAGCCCTTGCAGCCTACTTTCATCGAGAACAACATTCATTACAACTAGCCTACGTCTATTATCAACGTACAACTATTATACATTTACAATTATCTTTGTAACTCCATCTTCCCTAATTCAGGAAAAGAGCAAACCAATGTATGCAAAATTATATAGTGAATCATTTCAACTAGACAAAACTCTGTGATTTTTTCACTTTCTAAGGTCTCTATCTAAAAACTTCTGATGTCGCTACTAGTTATTTACATCTATCTGAGTGTGTTTGATTTCCGTGCAACACCAAGATGCTAATTCATTACTAAACCACCTCAAATTTTGTATCACACATCAATTATACACTTCCATTCTAATATTTTAGTAAATTATTTAAAAGAAGCAACAAAATTAAAGCAACCAATAATTCTTATTTTATAATGATATTAGTAAAATGATCTTAAATTTAAAGGTCAGATAACTTGAACATAAGAAAAAAAAGTCATACTCAAATAATCATTTCTAATTAATAAGAAATGGTAAACAAAATCTTAATAAAAAACTAGCTAATTAATGACCTGTCGCCAGGCCAATCATATCTCTCCCATTCACACATTTATCCCTCACTGCCAATATTGACCTCTTCCCCTCTCTTTTATTCATTCAAATTCAAATTTTTAGTACCAAATTAATTCATAAATAATAATAATACAAGGGATAATTACATATAGACATATAGACCACCCGAAACAGACCACCCGAAACATTGATATTTACAAATCAATCACCCAGGTTATTTTTCTGACATACCTAACTGATGTTTAAGTGAAGACAGTGGTTGATTTGTAAATAGCATTTTTCTGGTGGTATGCATGTAATGTATATATATATATATATATATTAATCATATTCTAATAAGTTTGTAAACCTTGGATAAATGAAACATTACCTTTTCATTTTTCTCATTTCTCTCCTATATTTTATTATATTTTCAATTTAATCCCAATCTTTCTTATATATATAATACTAACGTATATTCATGCAAACCAATCAGATTTCCCCTTTCTTCTTCTTCTTCTTCTTCTAATGGATTTGAGAAGTGAAAACCAGGAAGAAGCTGTGGTTGGCATCCCCTACAGATCACCCTACAGAGCTGAGAGACCATCTCTAAGTAATTAAGCACTTAATCTCCCTCCCTTTTTCTCTAATCAGTTTTTTGTTCATAATTAAGGGGGATTAGGAAAGTTTAATTAAATTTTTTTTTTAATCTTAATCTAGCTCCTTATGGATTATGTTTAGCTTTTTTGTTGATTTCTCTCTGAACAATTGAGCAATTGAGCAAGTAATCCCCTCCTCTTGTTCTCTAATCAGCTTTTTATTTGTGATTAACATGGATGAGGAAAGTTTAATTATGTTTTTTTTATCTTAATCCTGCCTCCTAATGGATTATGTTCAGCTGTTTTGTTCATTTCTCTTTGAACAATCGAGTAAACAATCTCCTTCTCTTGTTCTCTAGTCAACTTTTTGTTTGTAATTAAGAAGGATTAGGAAAGTTTAATTATGTTTTTTATCTTAATCCAGCCTCCTCATGAATTATATTTAGCTGTTTAGCTCATTTCTTTTTGAACAATCAAGTAATTAATCTCCGCTCTAATAAGCTTTTTGTTTGCAATTAGCAAGGATTAAGAAATCTTATTTATGCTTTTTTATCTTAATACAGTCTTCTTATGGATTATATTTAGTTGTTTTGTTCATTTCTCTTTGAAAAATTAAGCTATTAATCTCCTTGTTTCGTTCTCCAATCAGCTTTTTGTTTGTAATTAAGAAGGATTAGGAAAGTTTAATCATATTTTTATCTTAATCCGGTCTCCTTTTCTCTTTGAATAATTGAGCTATTAATCTCCTTCTCTTGTTCTCTAGTCAGCTTTTTATTTGAAATTAAGCCGGACTAGGTTTAATTATGCTTTTGAGTCTTAATCCAGTCTCCTTATGGATTATTTTTAGTTGTTTTTTCTCATTTCTCTAATTAATCTCCTTTTCTTGTTCTCTAATCAGCTTTCTGTTTGAAATTAAGTAGGATTAGCATAGTTTAATTACTCTCTGCGTAATTAAGCGATTACTCTCCTTCCGGAGTTCTTTAATCAGAATGGATTAATTTAATTATTAATTAAATTTAGCTCTTGCTTAAGCACTCTCCCAGTAATTAAGCAATTAATCTCCCTTCTTATTCTCTAAACAGCTTTTCTGTTTCGAGATTTAGTATGATTAGAATAGTTAATTAATTAATCTCCTTCTCTTCATTTCTATTCATCTTTTCAATTCGTAATTAAGGATTAAAATGGTTTAATTATGCATTAATCCAAATCCAAACCTCTTATGGTTTAACTATATACCGTCAAAGGAATTAATTAGAACATGATATGTCAAGGGGATCCTTGTTTGGTAGAAATGTAAATATACAATTAAAGTTATATTTAGTTTAATTATGAGGTGTTTTTTAGAAAAATTTGTTGCTGCATTTTGCAGAAAGAAAGGATTCGATGGTGGATCGCTTGAACAAGCTGCGCAATAAAGCTGATAGTTTTGTGCATGGCGTCCGAGATCATGGTAAATATGTAATTATATGAATTTTATATGATTACATTATATTTATAACATCTGAATAACATATAATAACACATTATTAATAACACTTAATAACACGGGGAGAATATTCCTCAGTGTTACCGGGTCGATTACTTAATAACACGGGGAGAATATTCCTCAGTGTTACTGGGTCGATTTTTTTTTTCTGTCACATCCATATGACTTGATTTTATTAGACTTGATTTTATTGGGCTCTGCACGTAACTCTACGTGCAAAGTCGTGATGCAATATTTTTTATTTGGTCAAAAAGTTATATTAGGAGTTCTAGATTTAACTTTCTTCATTTCAATCTTTTTGTGCAAATAAATAATAGTCTGCAAATTTTACAAATAAGTATGATAATTTAATCAAATTTACAAATCAAAATAAAAATATTTTGAATAAAGTAAATATAAAACTATGGGGGTCAGAGATGTAAATACAAATGAATTGTGTGGTATGTTTGTAAATCTCTCACAAAAATCAATTTATCATGAATTTAAATTCATGTAATTAATTTCTCCAGTGAGTGTGGGCCACAATATATCAAAGACCGTGAAGGGGAAGCTGAGCCTGGGCGCAAGAATTATTAATTCTGGAGGTTTTGAGGGGGTTTTTCGCAAAAGTTTCTCGGCCGGAGAAGAGGAGGATTTGCTGAGGGCGTCGCAGTGCTACATGTCCACCACCGCAGGACCTGTGGCAGGCGTGCTCTTTGTTTCAACGGATAGAATTGGGTTTTGCAGCGAGAGAGCAATCAAGGTTTCTACAACTATTGGAAATTCTGCCAAGGTACCTTATAAGGTGAGTTATGTAATTTTCATTTTGTTTTTTAAATTTATTTATTTTTCTATATTTATTTCATGGTTTTTTTATTTCATTTTTAATTATAAATATATATTTTTTTAATAAAGAATCAACAACTTCTTTCTTATAATTATAAATATATAATTTTTTTTTCTAAAGAATCAAACAACATCTTTCTTACAACACATGCACTTGTTGAAAAAAAGTAAGTTTTCATTATAAAAATTTAGAGGAAGCGATATGAAAATTGTTTCCCTAACAGAACTATGACAACGAACTAAAGTTGAAAGAAGGTAGAAAGCTGTCCAAAATAAATTTTAGTAATAATTTTGATTTTATATAATTAAGTTGAAGGTTTAGGGTTTGTTTGGGCCATTGATAACTATTTGAAGAAACAACTGCTCTTAAGATAATTATGGTGGTTATTACATTTTTTTTTTCAAAAAATTAGACGGTAACTATCTATCAGCCACCACATTAAGACTCCGTTTGGAGCACCGGTGTGGCGGTAGATAAACTGAATTTTGATATTTTTTTCAAAAAAATGTCGCTGAAATCAGTGTTTTCCCACTGATCATGGCTAGGTGTGTTGCTAACTTTCTAGTTGCGGTCTGACTTTTTTAAAAAAAAAATGAAATAATCATCGCAGTTTTTCGCGACATCAAATTATTCTTCAGCAGTTTCATAGTTGATTCTTAATAAGCTGCAGCTGCCCCAAAAAAACTCTATCATATCAGGTTGCAATACACAACTTTCCATCACAACTTTTTGAAAAAAAACCAACAAAACACAGTTTTGTTACACACCACAAAATGTGGTGTGAGATTCCACCGCACAATAATTCCACCACTGCCCCCAAACACACCCTTAAATACATAGCGCACAATTCCTATATATATATAATCACGTAAACCTTTGTCGCTATAGTGTTTTTTCTGTGTGTAATTTTTTCTCGTTTCATTTTTCGTTTTATTGGCCCGCTCTCCTCGATCTTCACGCTACTTTGGGAGCCGCAGCTCTCTCCTGCATTCCGCTCGTAAGCAGTAGACGCTCCGGCATCATGTAATAGTGTTGTTATTGTCGTGATATTAAAGATTTGAGTGCTATGTTTGTGAATATGAAAGTTCAGTTGTGAGATATGTAAGTGCCTCTTTTTTAAATAAAGTGCCTTTGACTTTTTTGTTTCTAGAATTCCCTCCATATCCATGCATAATTTGTGCTGCTATAGAATGTTACATGGGAAACAATGCTTAGCAGGATGAAACACTTTTTTTTTACCATAAAATTCCCTCTATTTCAAAATGGAATAGTTAATTACCAATATTATGATAAAGTGAACGGATTAGATTGTTACTTGTGGTTGCATGACAATATTTTTTAATAGCATATGTAATCTACACTGCTATTTTGGCACATTTGCTTACCAAAATATCTAAACAAACAACTTCTAATTTTTTGTTTTTTCTATCTATTTTAGGAATATTAAATTTCTTTCAGGCTACTATGCAAACAGTATTTAAAAATGAATTAACACTTCCATGTAGCAATCATTAAATAACATAATTCAACCTATATATAATTCTGTGGTTCATTTTCATGCAAGGACATAATATTTTTTGGATAAAATAATATTGAAGTAGTGCAGCATAACTAATTCAATATCATTTTATTGAATGTAACCATGATCATAAAAAAATTATTTTCTATTATTAGCTATTGTAAACATATTTCATAATTGTGTATTTGTTTAATTGTAGTTCACTCATATAAAACTCGAACTTCCAGCAATCAGTATCAACTAATCTTAATCTGCATGCATGTTGAATTTGAAATAACACCATACAAAGTTTCAAGAAATAACACCATGCAAACAATTCATTTAGCAGCCATCATTGGAAATGTTAATCGACATAATGGGATTTTCTTTTGTCCCCGAAAATAAAATTGCACCTTTGCTTCCTGCTTGTACTTTCTTCTTTTGTTTGGTTTTGATTTTTTTTTCGGAACTACTCGTCCTATTTTAATTTTTGTGAAATTTACATATCTAACACCCAAAATTTGATATTTACCCTTGTAATGCCTTGGTGTCATAAACATGTACATGAAAATGTGTATTTTATTTATAAAAGGTGGCGATGGTGGTATATTTGATGTGATATTAAAGATTTGAGTGGCATGCATGTAACTCTGAATGTTTAGTTGTTCGATATGTAAATACATAAGAATTGTGTGGTATTCATGTAAATGCCGTTAACTTTTTTTTCCTTACGATCAGCATTATCAGTGAATACGACATTATCTGGGCCATTACTTAGCAGATTTGACATAGTTCTTGTCCTTCTGGATAAAAAGAATCCTGAATGGGATGCAGTTGTTTCTAATCATATTCTAGCTGAGGTATCTCTCTTCTACGCCATAGTTAAGTTAGCTTATTAGTAATTTATCTATATTGAGATGTACATTTTTAACCTTCATTAGATCATACATGTATCTTTGGCTAACTGTCTCTAGTTGAATATTTTAAAACTAAACAGAAAGGAGAAGAAAATTGTAGAAGAGATTATTCTGAAGACTTGGGTAGTGTCTGGTCCCTTCCAATGCTTAGGAGGTAAATTCTAATATATTTTTTCCTTGTTTGTAGCATTCAATAAAGCATCTTAGTGTTTTTTGTTTTCTTTTTTCTTAATTTTGCAAGGCATCATAATTATTTTCTTACTGAACTAAAAGCACTTCAATAAAATGGTATTGCACTTTTATTTCATACAGTCCATCAGCAACACAACTAAACAACGTTGCCAAATAAACCGTTTATCTACTAAATAGCTTTCAAGTAATTTTACCTTTTATTGGATTAGTTTTTAATCACTGGAATATTTCATCTTGCTGCTTTATTGTAGTCCATCGCTTGTTAATTTCTGTTCATCATTTGGCATTTGAGATCATGCTATCTAAATTCGGCACTTGCAAAATACATTGAAGCTGATACCTAAAGCAGAATAACCCAAAATATTAGAATTAGGAAGCTTTCTTAAACGACTGTGTTTTGTAGGTATATCCACTATGTTAAGCAGCGTTTCAAACCCGTCCTGACGAAGGATTCAGAAAGAATAATTTCCAGTTACTATCAGCTCCAGCGAAGATCAGCAACCCATAATGCAGGTCAGAAGTGGCAGTACTTGTGTTGGGATCAATTTTTTCTTTCTTTAGATTTAGCCAAGTTATTAGGGAATTCCTTTGCAGTTTCCCTTATTACTTTGTGGAAGATTTACATACATACCACTCAACACCTATGTATTCACATATCTAAGCCTAAAAGTTACCTTTTTACAATTATACCGCCCAAATCTTTCATATCACATAAAAAAAGGTCACTATTTTAACTTTAAAAAAAAATGAAATACATCTTTTCAAGCATCGGTAGTGTGGCGTATATGTAAGAATAGAAGTTTAGATGTTAGATATGTGAATACATTGGAATTAAGTATTATGTTTGTAAATCTTTCTTTTTTTTGTGCAGCTAGAACTACTGTCCGCATGCTTGAGAGCTTAATACGGTTGGCCCAAGGTTTGTTTCATTAAGTTTAAGCAACATTGTTTAATCCTCGGTATGTTCCGATTAAATTTTGGAGGAGATGGATTTCAAAATTACTGGATTTGCTTTGATACGGGTGTAATATAAAAATTTTATTGATTTCCCATATATTCCTCTCGTCTCAAAACAGATTTAACGGTTATGAGATTCGTCCTCCCGAAATAATGATGATGATATTTTGATACAATTTTTTTTCGATGCGTTCTTATACTGATTTGACTCGACTTCACTGTAGCACATGCACGGCTTATGTTCCGAAACGTGGTTACCCAACTCGATGCTATTGCCGCCATCCTCTGCATAGAATCATCGATGACAACATCAGCAATCGTTGATAGTGTTGGAAATGCTCTGCATTCAAATTTCACTGAGTTTCCAGATCAAGAATGTATCCTTTTTGGCTAAAATAAAGGGCATTTACATACATACCGTCCATTTTCTATATTTAGGTGTATTTTACTTGTTACATTTATATTATACTAATCTTTCATATCTCATAAAAAACGTCACTGTTTAAATTTTCAGAACGTGAAATGCGCCTTTGCATGCAAAGGCAAGGTGGCGTTTATGAAAAAAATTAAGTTTAGTTGTTAGATGTGTAAATACATGAGAATTGAGTGATATGTATGTAAATCTTCTAATTAATAAATAGTTCATATGTAACAAAGCATGTTTTGTAGAAATAAGGATTCAATTTCTCATGTTGATTACATATGATCAGATAGATGATCTGTCATACCAACTACCACGAGTTCTTTGTGGCAATTTTTTCATGATTTTGCTTCTCATATGTAACAAAGCATGTTTTCAAAAGATAATTGCCAAAATGGTAGTTGATCATTTTAGTCCCCGGGTTTATAAAGATGTCAATTTAAACCCTTTACTTTTTACACGTGAGTTGAAATAATCCCAATGAAAAACTATTTTAGCCCCAATTAAATGCGTTTCAGTTTTCAAAAAATAATTTTTTTTCTACAACTTCGTTCCGGTTATTTTTACAATAATTATGGAGTTGTGCTTTCCAAAAACGGACCTTAAATGCAAAAAGGATCTAAACATGCTTCTTTATTCATAATTTGTTTCATCATTGTAATTTCTTAACATGCTTTTCAGATGCAAAACAGGGCAAAATAATTCTTGAGAAGTTAGGAGCAATCAGTGACTAGTGTTGTCTAACAACATATGAGCTTCTTTGTTTTTCTTTTTTCTTTTTTTAATGAGATTATGTTTTATTTTCTGTTTTCTTGTAATGTAGAGCACTTCGTTGCTGGACTGTAGGAAATTGATTCCATTATGGTTATTGTAAGAGAGGATCATCACAAGCCTTCCCTTGGATGTGTTTTCTTTGTACCATGGGCTTGTTTGAAGGAGCCTCGCTGTTCTGCAAAGCTCCTTTAAATGTCATGTCCGTGGAACTGAGATTTTCCATTTGTGATCTAAAACGGTGAAAATTTATTGTTCTGTTGAAATAATTACAAGAGATGTTGCTTTACCAAATGAAACCAAATCCATGCGTTGGCTTTCACTGTAGCGAAGCAGAATTTTACTGCCTTCTCAAATAAGGCCTATACCTTTGTCAGTCATACTGTTTTACACTCTCGATAACATAGTAAGTGTGTGTGTATATATATATATATATTATTTTATTTATGCATGAAAAGATATATTTCACCTTTTTATATGAATGTAAAATTATTTATGTGTTGAAGAAAATAAATGTAAATCTTATTAATTAACATTACATATACACATGATAAAATATGAGGGAAAATTGCATTAACAATTTTTAAATTTGCCATCTTCCGCAGGCTTTAATTCCACTGAAGAAAATAGAGGGAGCATTTTCAAGTGAGAATGTGGAAAATCCAAATCAGAAGTATATGTATATTGTCACAGTTGATGGATTTGAGCTCTGGTTTTTGGGATTTGTAAATTACAAAAAAACCTTCAAGTCAGTTCAGAAAGCAATCTTAGAAAGGTGATTGGTTTAATTTGTTTTATTGTTGTGAGGTTGTGGATCGAAATTTGTCCTTTTATGAGGTGTTTTTTGAGTTAGTGGAGGAATATTTTGTGGATGTGAGGGGAGAAATACATTTGTCAATTCTTTATGTTGGATTTTCTAAATTATGACTTTGCGGTGTTAAAAACATAAATTATTTGCAAATATATATATATATATATATATATATATATATATAACACTGTCAAAAGATTAAAAAAAATTAACAGTTCAGCAAACAATAGATCACACATGTCAAAAGTGCCCAAAAGATTAAAAAAAAATTAACTGTTCAGCAAGTATATATGCTGTCTATACATGTTATCTGTGTGTGCGTGAGCCCCACATACCCCGATTTGTTGGTTCATCGTCGATGTAAGTCCCCTCAGGCCGGTTCGAATCCTCTCCGACACAGTTGGCCTTAAGGAGGTGGTACTCGAACTGTTAGGCACATTAAAGTGCTTGCAGACTCGTATAATTATCTCTGACCATTCCTTATATATATATATATATATATATATATATATATATATTCGTCAAAAAGGACCAAATACCGATTTCCCATGTGCTAGGCCCCATGATGAGGGCCCGCATAATGCGTTTAAATATTTGAGAACCCAGTGCCACTGAGGATCAAACCCGCGACTTGAGGGGAATTACAGTGAACTCTGCCAACTGTTATGGTATGACTCATATACCATATCGGGACAGACGCTGGATCGAAGCGGAGCGGAAGAATCTGTCCAAATTGGGAAATTACGTGGGTTAGGGTGCGGGGGCAAAACCCCGCGGTTTGGTACAGGGGTAATGTTGTAATTACATATTGTGCCTAGGTTTACTCCTGAGGTTATAAATAGGCCTGTTAGTAACCCCAGGAGGTATCCCTCTATTCTGTAATCTCTTTTCTGAATATTGAAAGGAACTCGCCGCTCTGCTCCCGAAGACGTAGGCATCTTTGCCGAACCTCGTTAAATCTCTGTGTTCTTCTGGATTTGTGTCGTTTTAGTTTTTCTTCGCCCTAATTTTCTCAACAAGTGGTATCAGAGCTCAGGTTCGAGGGCAGGGAAGAAAATTGTGGCGGCGCAGGAAGTAAGAATAACGATTTGGAGATTTTGGAAGGAGAAGGATCTGCCTGGCATCAGTGCGGGACGGAGGACTGCGGGTTCTTCGGCGGAACAGCGCGAAGGAGATTTGCGGCGGATTTTGCACGACGCAGGCAGAGGTTTTTCGCCCGAAGTGGTTTTGGATCGGGGCTCTTTCGCAACGCAGGAGGAAGGCAGTTCCGGAGGGCTTGTTCGGCGACGACCGGAAGGCTCCAGTCCTGCGCGAGTTGGCGAAGACCAGAAGGCAACGGGAGTCTTCGGGCGCGAGAAATGTGATACATCATCGAAGTCTGTAAATGTGGCACAGAGTGACAATTCAGATTGCAATGATGGTGATATGTTTTCAGTTTCATCAACTCAGTTCATAGATGCATGGATTCTGGATTCAGAGTGCTCTTATCACATAACACCTAACAGGGAGTGGTTTAATTCATACAGGTCAACTAATTCTTGCTCAGTCTATTTGGGTGTTGATAGATGTTGCAATATTGTTGGTATTTGAGAAGTCAGAATTCAGATATATGATGACACAGTTAAAACATTATGTGATGTCAGACATATTCCAGATCTGAAGAAAAATTTGATTTCCCTGGGCACTCTACACATAAATGGTTTTATTCTTGAGGCAAATGAGGATAGGGAAACCAACAAAATTGTTAAGAATGCACTGCCGGTGATAAAAGGAAAGTTAACTGCAGGCAATATCTACAAATTGTTGGGGAGTACAGTTGTAGGTGAAGTTCATTTTATGCAGTCAGATGATGACAGTACAAAGCTATGGCATATGCGTCTGGGTCATCTCAGTGAAAGTGGGATGGCAGACTTGCATAGAAGAAACCCGTTGCATGGTGTTAAAAGCTACAAGCTCGATCTTTGTAAGTTCTGTATTCTTGGAAAACAGACTAGAGTCAGTTTTATGACTGGAAAGCACAAAACTGAAGGAATCCTTGATTATGTGCATTCTGATGTATGGGGCCCTACTAAGGAATTGTCATTGGGAGGATCTCAGTATTCTGTTACCTTTATTGATGATTTCTCCATGAAAGTTTGGGTGTATTTCTTGAAGCAGAAATCTGAAGTCTTCTCTAAATTCAAGCTGTGGAAAGCTGAGGTGGAGAACCAAACTGGCAGAAAGATCAAGTATTTGAGGTCCGATAGTGACACATAGTACACATATTCGCAGTTTCAGAAGTTCTGTGAGGAGCATGGGATTTAGAGGCATTTTTTAGTGCGCAAGACACCACAACAAAATGGTGTGGCAGAAAGATTGAATAAGTCATTAACTGAAAGGGAAAGATGCTTGAGACTGAATGCAGGGCTTCCTAAGAGTTTCTGGGCAGAGGCTGTGAATATGACATGCTATCTCATCAATAGATCACCTCGAGCATCATTGGGTGGCAAGGTCGCAGAAGAGGTATGGACATGTAATCCAGTTAAATTCGATCATTTACGGATTTTTGGTTGTCCTGCTTATGTGCATGTACTTGGAGATGAAAGATCCAAACTTGATGCAAAATCCAAGAAGTGCAGTTTTCTGGGCTACAAGAAAAGTGTGAAAGGATACAAGTTTTGAGATCTGATTGCAAAGAAGATGGTGATCAGCAGAGATGCAGTTTTTTATGAGCAGTTTATGTTACAGCAGAATCAAGACAAGGTGCCAGAGAAGAGTTCCAGTTCAGATGTAGTGCATATGGATTTAGAACAACAACCAATTGCTTCTGAGAGAGGTGAAAGTTCAAATCCAACACCTGGTGATTCTATTCCAGATGATCTGCAGAATTATAACCTAGCTAGAGATAGACAGAGACGTACCAATGTAAGGCCTCTTTTCAGGGAGCTATATCTAGCCAGAAGAAAGAAAAATGGATGGGTGCAATGATTGAGGAGATGGAGTCTTTGCAGAAAAATCACAATTGGGAGCTAGTTCAGCATCCAGAGGGAAAGAAGGCTATTGGGTGCAAATGGGTCTACAAAAGGAAACCAGCAGTATCAGAAAAAGAAGGGGAAAAGTTCAAGGCTCGACTGGTTGCAAAGGGATTTTCGCAGCAGAAGGGGATAGATTATGATGAAATATTTTCTCCTGTGGTCAGACATACTTCAATCAGGGCAGTGCTTGCATTAGTAGCAATTTGGGATTTGCATTTGGAGCAGATGGATGTTAAAACTGCTTTCTTGCATGGTGATTTGGAGGAGTAGATTTACATGACACAGTCAAAATGGTTCACCCAACCTAGACAGGAGCATCTGGTTTGCAGATTAAAGAAATTGTTGTATGTGTAGAAATAGTCTCCAAGACAATGATACAAACGGTTCGATTTCTACATGATTAAGATTGGCTACAAGAGATGTGAGTATGATTTTTATGTCTATGTCAAGAGCCTTGATGATGATTCTATTATATTTCTATTACTGCATATTGATGATATATTGATTAATGCAAAGAATATGCATGATGTCCTTGGTTTGAAAGCTTTATTGAGCCAGAAATTTGACATAAAAAACTTGAGTCCTATAAAGAAGACTCTTTGAATGGAGATTCATCGAGATAGAGGCTCAAGACAACTATGTTCACCTCAATGGTGCTATGTTGAGAAAGTGTTGGATAGGTTTGAAATGAGCAAAGCAAAGTCTGTGAGCACTCCATTGATAAATCATTTTAAGTTTTCTTCAGAATAGTGACCTAAGACAGATACAGAAATTGAAGACATGACAAATGTTTCATATGTCAGTGCAGTTGACTGCTTGATGTATGCAATGATATGTACTCGTCTTGATTTGACTCATGTTGTTAGTTAAGTCTGCAAATACATGTCTAAACCTGAAAGGCGACATTGAGAAGCAGTCAAGTGAATTTTCAGGTGTCTGAAGGGTACTGTAGGACATATAATTATTTTTGACAGTCAGTTGAATGGTTCTTCAGTTGTGAGATACGTGGATTCAGACTATACATGTGATTTTGATTGCAGAAGGTCTAGGTGGAGGACTTATATGTTGGAAATCAACAGTTCACTATATTGTGGCATTATTTACAAATGAAGCTGAGTACATGACAGTAACTAAAGCTGCTAACAAAGCTTTATGGCTAACTGGCTAGTAAATGAATTAAGTGTTGAGCAAGGTGGAGTTCAGTTGCATTGTGATAGTCAAAGTACTATTTATTTGGCTAAGAACCAGATGTACTATGCGAGAACCAAGCATATTGATGTCAGGTATCACAAGATCAGAGAATTGATTACTTCTGGTGAGATACTGTTTCAGAAGGTTCATACTAGTGAAAATGCAGTTGATATGTTGACCGAGAGTTGATTGCTTCTGGGGAGATACTGTTGCAGAAGGTTCATACTGATGAGAATGCAGCTGATATGTTGACCAAGTCAGTTACTATCAACAAGTTCTTGCATTGCTTGGACTTGTTGAATGTTTGCAGTTGCTAGAGAAGCATGGTAGCCCAACCCATGATGGTGCAGTTGTAACTCCCATGTATTTTTCTCCTAAGGGGCTGGATATTCGCCAAGGTGGAGATTTGTTATGGTATGGCTCATATACCATATCAGGACAGACGCTGGATCGAAGCGGAGCGGAAGAATCTGTCCAAATTAGGAAGTTACGTGGGTTGGGGTGCGGGGGCAAAGCCCCGCGGTTTGGTACAGGGGTAATGTTGTATATTGTGTCTAGGTTTACTCCTCAGGTTATAAATAGGTCTGTTAGTAACCCCAGGAGGTATCCCTCTATTCTGTAATCCCTTTTCTGAATATTGAAAGAAACTCGCCGCTCTGCTCTCGAGGACGTAGGCATCTTTGCCGAACCTCGTTAAATCTTTGTGTTCTTCTGGATTTGTGTCTTTCTAGTTTTTCTTCGCCCTATTTTTCTCAACACCAACCAATAGGCTACGAGTTGCGGCGCACACACACACGCCCGCTCGCATATATATATATATGCCAAAGAGGACTTACAACTGACAAGTATATGCCCGATCATGAAGATCTTGGTTTCTCTGTGTAATACTCCATGAAGAACCACTTGTTTATCCTTTTTTTTTTACCAATTTAATTTTTTAGAATTTTTTTTGGAAATATTGATTAACATTAATTATTTGCAAATTTTATTTTATTTTATATGCAATGTCACAATTTTATTCAAAATTTCTTTTACTATTTGATATAAAGTAAGTTATCGTAATTTTAAAATTATAAATAATAGAATAAATTGAACTAAGGCATATAAATATTTTTTGAGAGCCAAGGATTACCAAATGTCGCAAAGTCTTTATGCATCAAGCGTTATAATCTATAAGAATGCGGGTCTGTTTGGGGCAGTTGCAGATTAATAATAAGCTGTTGCAAGCTGGCTGTCTGTTTATGTTTTACAGTTTGAAAACAACTGAGTTGCAGTTGTTTCTGGGCAAATTATTACTCTACCGTTGTATAGCAATGTTGTTTGCAACATAACTGTTCATATTAGTACATTTCAAACTTTAAAAATAAATATTCAGTGCAGAACGTTACAAAATAATGATAGATATCTTAATAAACAATAAGTAGTATTGCTACCAAAATTAAAAAAATAACTATTAAAACGACAATTAATAATATAATAATATTATTTTTAAAATACAGATAACATGTGCATGAGCTAAGCCGTCTTCAAGGAACACTTTATGCCCGATAATTCTAGACGGTGGAATCTTTTAACCCATCTGCTCACAGAAAATAGTCAAAGTTTTCTGTGATTCTCAGCGGACACCTGTAAAACTCTCTCATAATTATGTGGCTGACGTGAAGTGAACAAAAAACATTAAAGTCCACAGTAGCAGTGCAATCCTCTGGAGGTATCAGAAATCCTCAAGCTCATCTTTCTCAATTGATTAAAAAAACATACCCTTAGACATAACACTATTAAAAATTGATAATAAAAGTAGTTAATTAAAGTATTATGTAACTTTGAGGTCTCAGAAAACTCAGTATATAAACCAATGAATCTGTCAGTATAAGAAGTTATCAGATCTTATAAAAATGGGTTATTGGTTGTATTTAATTCATGTAATAGCAAGCTCGTGTATAACACATATGCATATTAAAAAAAAATCATCCATAAGAACCTAAAAAATCGTAGCACTGAAAATTGACAGGAACTTGGTTGTCTTCATATAATTTTACATGTGAGATCAACCAATAACGACATATAGACCATTTAGAAGAACCTATAAGGCCAACATCTCATCATAGAGGAAAAAAAATATAAAAGAGAAAAACACATACAACTTGCATAAAAAACCA